CGTGCCTTTCGAAGCACGGAGGAGCTTAAGGTAATGAGTTCATAGTCACCCATCCAATGACCGACCATTGCGAAAGTTGCTTAACTTTCACGATCATAGACCATCGAGCTCCTCCCCGTGAAATTTTAATTCACACATTATTATTCTTTTTATATAGGTAGGTACGTTTGATTGCTAAACTTTTGCATTCTTTTTACAAATTTCGTTTGAAAAAAAATTATCCAAGGTTGTCTGACTGGAAAGTTTCGCTCAACTCTCAACCTGGGTCCAACTTTATAGAATTAATTTTCTGTTGTGTCTTGTTAACCTTATTGTATTCATAAGTGATATGTTTTCAGTGACTTGGGTTCGCAAGACATGCGGCAAGGAGCTCGCCATAGTCAACGGATTCACGTTTTACCTACACAAAGTGAACTCCAAAACGAATATTTGGAGGTGCACCAACGGCAAGTGCAAGAGTCGTTTGACTATGACAAACGACATGTACCGCTCCCTTGTTCGATCTGTATTAATACATTATCACCAACCGCCACAATATGTTATTGACAAAGGGCGATATTTGAAATGCTGAAAATGGTATTTCCCCCAGTCTTTTAAGAGCGCTGTAATACATCCAATTCATAAAAGTGGTGACAAAGGAAGCGTCAGTAACTATCGCCCAATATCTATTCTACCTTCCATATCAAAGATTTTAGAAAAACTTGTAAACAAGAGGCTTGTCAATTATTTTGAAACTTATAATTTGGTATCTCCTTCACAGTTTGGCTTTCCTAAAAACAAGTCAACTGCAGATGCTGTATATGAACTCACCAACTTTGTAGTAACAAACCTAGATGAGAATAACAAGGTTATAGGAATATTTTTAGATCTAGGGAAAGCATTTGACACGGTTTCTGTCCCACTTCTAATAAGCTGCAGCGACTGCATGGGATTCGTGGTAAACAGCTTGATTTCTTTGAGAGTTATCTCACTGAGCGAAGACAAAGGATATGTACCGCTCCGTTGTTCGAACTATATTAATACATTATCAGCAACCGCCACAATATGTTATTGACGAAGGGCGATATTTGAAATGCTGTAAACAATATTTTTGTTCATGATGTTTTATCAAAATTATAGGCAGCGTTTTACCAAGTGTAGGTATACCTATAATTTAAAAATTATCTAGTTTGACGTAAATCAAAACAGCACAGTTAACAGTTAACTGATTTTACTCACCGAGTGTTTCGAAGTACCTAAGTAACTTTCTTTTAAATTAATTATCAAATATATTTTTATACTTACTGTTTTACTATACTTTTTAATTTCGCCAAACTGATTATCAGTTTATTTGCGAAAAAAGTACTAATTTTTAATTAGACGTCAATTTGAACTTCGTAACCTAAACAATGTAGGTATATATTTTTATCCAGTTTATATTGTTAATAGCTACTACTTTTGATATTAAAGCGTACATGAATGAAGTTAGTGATAGTGAAATGCTAGAATATAAATTAAGTTTATTGAACTTTTTTTATAATTTCGATACTGAGGCTGTGATATGACGTAAATTCTTTGTCTCCGATTTTTAGGGTTCCGTAGTCCTGACAAGGAACTCTTATAGTTTCGTCATGTCCGTCTGTCTGTCCGTCCCTGATTTTGCTTGGAGACTGTTAGCACTAGAATTTTGTAATGTGGAAAAAATAATAAAAATCTGTGGAAATTAGTATATCAATCACGCCGACAAAAGGGTAGATTCAAATTTAAAATAAACATTTTTTTAAGGTAGCTCTTCTACAATTAACCTGGGGATGATTTTTTTTCCTCGTCTAGCCCATCGTGTATATAGGGTATATATAGGGTATCGTTAAATAAGTCTTTTAAATTTGCTTAGGTGTTTATATTTTATATATGTCTATCTTTTATTTAGAGATCCGTTTGCGAAATATTGAACTTTAAAGTGCCAATTTCGAGTAGGGCGTCCCCCGTCCCCCTCTAAAAGCTTAACTATTGGCCTGAATAACTTGGTAAAATTCACTTAATATTGCTTTTTATGAACTTTCAAGGAAAATTATAAAGGTTAAGATAGTTGAATTAGTCTAAGAGCAGTAGTCGTTCAACTTTGCCAAAAGAAAATTTCTAACTTATTGAAAATTTAAATTATGTTCAGTTTACTTCTAGATGTCATAAAGTATAAAAATACTTTATGAAAGCTTTGACTCGTTATCTTCTATAAAAATATATAGTATATAAGTTTGGTGTGGTTGAAAGATAAATTATAAATACCGAAAGAAAATGCTCCTGTTATCAGATAAAAAAGCAAATGTCTAGGTTATTATGTCGATGTTAAAATTTATTTATAAAAATAACTATTGTATTTTTTTTATTTGAAACCTGTAAACTATATTAATAAATAACGTTAATTTCTTAACAAAGTCAAATACAGCCTTCGGATCAGAATTCAAGGTAAGTATTATTAATACTTAGCAAATTCTTGCTCCTCCTATATAACGACGTTCATAACGGATTGTAGTAAATCTTTATTTTTATTCTAAAAGGGTCGGCCATTAGAGAAATGAATTCTTCGTATAAAGGACGAAGATATGTTCCATCATAAGGATTAATACATTGTATTATTGTAGCTCGATGTCGCAGGGGGTTAGGGCGTTCGGCCTCTGATCGTTGAAGTTAAACAACTTTCACAATGGTCAGTCATTGGATGGGTGACCCAAAATCTATTATCTCAAGCTCCTCCGTGCTTCGGAAGGCATATTAAACCGTTGGTCCCGACTGCATCTGCCTTCGGCCGCTATGGTAACTTCTTTCATGGCAACTACTTGTCTGCAGTCGTTAGCACCCACTTACTCGCACTGGGCTCGCTTGGTGGGTCACGGGACGGCTCAGTCTCCCTATTCCATCCATATGGTAGGTCTGTGCCCCAGCAAGTGGAAACAGTAATAGGCTGTTGATATTATTATTACGAACACATCACAAGATTATAAAATAAATGTTGTGTGTGTGTCTGCTCACAATTAGAAAAGGTTTTGACTATGATATCTTCTAACTTAACACAAGTTTGGATTCGAAGTCTGGTATAGAGGAGCTTTATTATTTCGATAATTTTTGCATTAGCGATGCTTTATGGCTTTAGTGGCACGTTTGTTTGGTTTGTCAGCTTTCTACTTCACAGATATTAACACAAGGGGAGGTGGTGTAATCAGATGGAATTTGCTTACAAAGAATCTCTTATTTCATACTCAGGTGAATATCCTTTAGAGACAGCTCTCCTGTAAGCTTGTACCACCGCCGTTTGTATTTTTTGTGCCTCGAGTGGAGTGCAATCCTACAGCTTTTGCTTGAGCCGCGATAATCGTAAGGCACCATTACTAGAGCCATGACTACGACCAGTAGCCGCAATGACCAGATTGACTAAAGGAGCCATACAAACCGCAATGGCTAAATTAAATTGATCGTTGCGGTTGTCTAGTACGCAAGGTACATAATTCACTTTCATACAGGTCACGGCACGTAACTCTAGCGCTGAACAAAAGTTGCGTATGGGTACGACTGGAGAGCCAATCGGCGCAACCCACGCCCACCCGCGCACCTCGTTTCCCCCCAAGACATCTTAATTTTTACTTCCGCGCAATAACGGTCAGCGCTAGAGTTGCTTGCCGCGACTTATTTAAATAACAGCGGTAATAAACGAATCGCTTCACTACACAAGGTTCCCCAAATGGGCAGCCTTGTGTAGCATTGTGGGCGACGTGAGAAGTACTTGTGAACACATCACATGAAATATACACCGCAAGTGTAACTTTACTAGGCGTGCTAAAAACATGTACAACAGGTGAGAAATGATCCTCTTTTAATGCTATTTTATTTCTTCTCGTCACCGTTCCCGGCACGTGACTTCAATAGCAATTGAAAAAAAACTGTTTTATTTTTTGTTTTTTTTACACACCAATTTGCCTAGCCCCAAAGTAAGCACTATAAGGCTTGTGTTATGGGATACTAGGGTAACGGATAGAATACATACACTGTACATATATAAGTATATTTATATAGAAATACATATTAAACATCCATGACTGGAGTACAAATGCTCGTGTTTATCACACAAACATCTGCCTCCACCGGGTTCGAACCCGGGACCTCTCGAGTCGGCGACACCATGAAACCTGGCGTACAAACCACTCGGCCACGGAGGTCGTCAATTATGTATTTTTTGTGTTGTTAATTGTGCCAAATTAAGCTGTAACAACTATAGCATTGGAACGGGTGGCCGGGGTCCATGTTTTCCCGCCACATAATGTGTTCTCAAAATGTGAGACGCTCGATTTTCATACAAGTTAAAGCACATGCGTCATTAACTAGAATCTTGGTCTGTGTGTTGACGTCGCATCAAAGGCCAACCCCCGTCGACGTGGACGACTCCACTTCAGCCGTTCGATCCATCGGTCTGTACGCATTCGGTAGGGTGGGCTTTGGTAGGCGCCTCTGTTGCTATGGACATCGGTTCGTGGCGTGCTAACATTTAAGAACATTTGTTCTAATCGCTGCACGCGTCGCTGCTGTAAAACCGCCTATACATGTTGGCCAAGCGAAGGCGTACTCCACCGTATATACAGCATTTTTGTCTTGCCTTATCGTAGCAAAGTGTTGCTTGCCTAATTTGCGAGTAAAGGGAAGCGCCAACGTGTATAGACTTCATTTACCGTCGCTTGTGGTCACTCGCTGTCGCTCGCCAATATTTGTCTATAATAACTGATAGTGCACCAACGAGCAACCCTACAAAGTTCCTCTATATTAGCCACTTGCATTGGTTTTCTTCAAACTTCCTCAACTTCTAAACGGTAGCAATTGCCTTGTATCTGTTTGCCTACACTTGCGTTGGGTTAAGCTCGGCTAACATGTATTGACGGCTTAATACGTTGTTCACAGCGGCAACGCCGTGATCGAGCCGTAATGAAGATGCGGCCTATTGTGCAAACTAAAACGTTTTGTATTTCCCATTCCAGTGGTGATATTAGCCAAGTCAAGGTACACGGGAAGAAACCTAGTCATGTTCAACGACTACACGTATTATTGTAAGAAGCAGAACAAACGAACCAATCAGTACCATTGGTACTGCTCAACGCACAACTGGAAGGGATGCAATGCAAAACTAAAGTTGGATGGGAATTACACATTTCTGGGCATTGATAATGCCCACACTCATCCGCCGGCGAGATATTTAATACGAGATGGGTTATATATTAAGTGTGATTAATATTGTTTGCATTAAAGACAGTTATCGCCTAGGCGTTATGTTGCTACAAGAGTATTGGATATGCCTTAGAAGATTTTAGAGATTAATTAAATTCGCTATCAAGGGAAGCTGTTAATTACATAAACAAATATCCACTAGCAAGCCCCAAATCCACAATAAATGTCAATTTATTAATTAACTTCATTTTAGAAATGCAGAACACACGTGCACTTTCAATCAGTCGGGTTTTTTTTGCGGTATAAAGCGCTGTCGCCCGCTTTTTTGTGGTCACTGAGTTCAATGTTTGTGGTACCAGGACGCCGTTCATATTATAATATTGTTTTATATCTAAAAGTAAACATATTTATTTGAACTCAGTGTTTGAGTGCATTAGGATTCATAATGTTGCTTGAAGTTGCTTTTTTTTGTATTATTCTCAACTTCTCCTGAGGCCCAAGGATGGTTTTGGCTGCTCCGTAACGTATCGCATCGTCAAAATTTAGCCCTATCGGACGTAAGAACAAACTAGCATTTTCCATACAAAATTTGACGATTACAATACTTTACGGAGCGGTCAAAAACTCGTGCTTGGCTCTGATAGCGAGTATAATTCTATGCAATTATTGACACATCACAAAAAACTGCGTACAATGATCACTTGTAGGTATAAGTTTTTATTAAGTTTAATTTTAAACTGATAAGTAGGTTATATCGACTGCGCCATTTTGTCTTTCTTTTACAAAATAGGTCAACTTGCCGCAACTTTGCAAAAGCTCAATTTAAAAAAAAACTAGGTTTAGCCCATAAAATAATATCGAAATGATATTGACGTTTTGAGATTTTTTAAAGCCCACTTGCAGCAAATTTGATAAATCTCGATTCAAACGACCATTCAAATAAGATTTAGACTGGGCGCGGACGCTTTCCGATCAGGAATTCAGAATCGGAATTCCATGAGCCCAGCGCAGACGTTTCGGTTTCAGATTCGGAAAAAAATAAGAATAATGTGCGAGTTTTTGATTATTTTGTATGTGATTGTGATTTGTAAATTGGATTCCCAAAATTATATAAATCCATAGAAATATGTCAAAACGTCAAAGTCAATTTGACATTATTGTTGGGCTAAATCTAGTTCTACTTAAATTGAGATTCAGAAAAATGATTTAACTGATACAAAAATGATAAAACGTTAAAGCTAATTTGATATGTCTGTATGAGCTAAATCTAGTTAAAATTAAATCAAGCTTAAGCAAAATTGCTTCAAGTAGACCTTAAACCATAAAATCTTTGTTTTCTCCATAAACAGTAAACAATTTTTGACAGTGCAGCCGCGTTGTTTATAGCATAGTTAAATTTGACTATAGTTAATGTCATGCCAAATAAATACCTTTTGACAAATGGTTATTTTATTCTGTATTTTAACTAAAGTCAATAACTATATTTCAAAAAACGCGGTCTTAATAAGTTTTGCCAAAGTTTAAAAGATATACCTAAGAGTAAGTATTTAATAAAATTACAAACAGCAACTTATCTTTCATGAATTGACGACATCTTGCTGCACCAATCCTCCATTTTGCTAAAAAGATCCTATATAGGTTCGAGTCCCCATATATTTATGTGGTAAGCAAAAAATAATTGCTCGATTCAAAGCTGTTTTTATACTTATTTCTTATGATATGTTTTTCGATATTCTTACAGGAAACTATGTACAGTTTGGACTAAATAATTAATGTGAGTTAATGAAAAATAATTTACTCAATATTTATACAAAACGCGGCTACGCTTTTTCTGCATATATACCTTTTTTATCCCATTTACTGCTAATTCTTATAGTAACCGGTACCATAAAACCATTCTTTATTTGAATTACATCTCCATAGAGTCGATGTAGTAAAAAGTACATACATACTCCATTAATATTGCTTTTTTAGTATTCTTGATATCTTTATGTTCTGGTTTTCTTCTTCTTTCGATGGAACATACCTAACTCACTGTACGCCTCTATTTAAAGCTTATTAAATACTATATAAGTCGATACCAAATCTCGCTCAATGCTAAATAAAGGATAAGAGATACAAATTGCACGGCGCCATACCAAGTCTTTAATTTTATTTTTATTTTTTCCATTATTATATTTTTTCCAATTACTTGTTATTATGAATATAGTTTATTGACATGCAAGTTTTATTATGTTTTATTAATAAAATCCGCCTTGATTTGTGCTAATTCATTCCCCCAGTCCATATATACTACAATGAAGAATTTCTCCGAAATTATAATTATGAGTTTTATTTGAAAACCGAATATGAATTTTATTCGACGACAGTGATGTACAAACGCATATTTAGCTCAGGAGTTCTATTTTTGAATCACTCGCCTTCCGTCGAACGCTCTATTTCTACTAATTTTCATTCGACATAATTAAATTGGTAATTTTGAATCGCTCGAGTGCAACGAATGGGTGAGACCACTCGTTGCATGGCGAATGGTGGAGGCGAATGATAGAATAATTCTCAAATTTGTGTCAGACGTCACGTTAGTGTCAAACTTAAAGTTATTAAGATTTCTTGTGTGATTGGATTTAGCCACTGAGTAAAATAAACTTTTAGAAATGAGTGTTGTGACGTTTGAATTTTTCAAATGCCGGCACTTTACTTTACTATTCATTTTGCTATTAGACGACGATAATCTATCCTTGTCATGCTTTATATGAAACGACAAGGGCAGACTGACGTCAAGTTTCTTCATTTTTTATTATGACATGACGGCTAATGCATGTCAAGTTTACAAACAGCAATCACGAACAGCTAAGTGAAGTGCCGGTAATATACAGCCATGTACTAAGAGTTTTTCGTTGCGTTTTCATTGCGGTAATTACCGGTTTTTATTTTGTCTGCGTGAAATGAATAAAATTTTATATTTCGTATTAAACTGGTAACATCTGTAGCGAACGATTCAAAAATACGGAAAATCAGTATCATGATACTGATTTTGATGATGATAGTCGCATGCGACTTGAAAGATGAAGGTGACTTAAGTCGCATTCGACGATACTATGTCAGACGAGTGATTCAAAAATAGAGCTCCAGAGCAGGAGTCATAGTTTAGTTCGGACTTGTTGCTTAATCCTTAATACATTATTGTGAATGGATAATTTGACAGCAACCTGTGTACATTTCCAGATTATCTACAGGTCCAGTTACACGAAAGCAGCTCGAAAAGACGAATGTGGAATCAGCAAAACATGGTCAACGCTATAAAGGACTTAAGAGCAGGCATAATGGGCCTGAAAAAAGCGGTGCAAGTGTATTCCGTGCCGAAAACTACTCTAAGGCGGTTCGTACACAGCAATTACACGGCGGAGGAAGCTGTAAAAATCTGTATGTCACGGAAATTTATGACCGGCAACCACCGAAAATGAGCCACAAACATGGGAGTAGCTAGGAGGGAGCAAGAGCGGATAATAACCACTATAAAATTCGATAGTGAATAAGATTTTAATTTTAGAATTTATGTTTTGATATTTGGAGAACGCCCTCCTACAGGAAAAAGCCACCCCTAGCTACGCTAAACAAGTAAACAAACAAACTACGAAGAACTTAAGAAATCGAAGCTTATACCTTATTTTCATTTTAGACCGTATTTTTAATCGTGTATTCAATTGTTTAATGATATTTTAATAAATATTGGATAATAGTAAAATTTAGTAAAAACAATTTATCGCATAAAGATATGTAAATAACACTCACCTTTTTCTTCGATTGTGCATCGGGTTTTGGTATAATAATAATAGCATAATTTATAGTGCTCATAATTAAAGTGAATCGAAAAACAATTTTAAAAGCGGTGATTATTGTGATGCATGTAACTTCACTTCTTGAAAATTAAATTATTGGAATATATTGAGGTGGTGGGAGGGCAAAATTAAGGATTAAACTATACAAAAGGTATACATTACATCGCTTATTTGTAATATATTTATTGGGACGGTGGTAGGGCAGAATTAAGGCTTAAACTAAACAAAATGGTTACATTACATCGCTTATTTGTAATGTATTTATTATTTTGAAGAAGTGAAGTTACATGCATCACAATAATCACCGCTTTTAAAATTGTTTTGTAATAGTCTTCAGTAATCGTTTTGTGACAAAAAAATCTAACTAACCAAAGTAATCGTTAAATTCGGTCGCAGTCAAAAAACTAACCATTTTATAGTAACTTTATAACACAATCTGTACATTTGTAAACAAATTTTTATGTACATTAATAAAAGCACTTAAAAATTAATTAAGTTATGTCACCTCTATATATATATATCACCTCAAGTGTGTGTTGGTTGTAGCAATACATTACTACGTGTATGTATGTAACACAGTACCGAAATCAAATTTGGCTGTAAATAAGAAATAGTTTATTAGTATAATAAACTGATTCTGTTGTATTTGCGTCAAATACAACAGAATCAGTTTGTCTACAGAATATGAAATTTATTTTTCAGTAAATAAAATTTGGCTATTGTTTGGTTTATTCGACTAGTTTTGTGAATTTCTTGTTTTCTGGGTTTCGAAGGCGAATTACAATATAGGTACAAGAATTGAAATTAAAAAAAATAGTAATAAAAAATAATCAATTTTTAAATTTATAGACTTTGGTACAACCGCAACAATATTTAAGCAGCAGTTCGACGTGAAGTGTTGCAATGGACATTTATTTAACCTATTTCAAACTAAATTCTTGTGTCACAATGTTTGTTATCGTACTCCTCCGGAAACGGCTTGACCGATTTTTATGAAATTTTATATGAATATTCAGTAGGTCTGAGAATCGGTTACTATCTATTTTATATACCCCTAAGTGATAAGGGTTGTCCACCCATAACATTTATTTTTATATTTTGGACATTTTTTTAAAATAAATGTTGTTTTTTTTATAATATTATATAATTTTATCACTTATATTGATAGGTACATCACCCTCAGATGTACGTTGGATATAATTCCACCTATCTAGTAAGTTAATAAATTTACTGACTTATAAAAAAAATTGCCGGTCTCGTACTCATGTAAAATGATGTAGCAATTATAATGTAGCTTAACACGGAAAATATATAAGAATAATTATTTTCTAAGCTTACCCCCAGTTCTTACATGTATATCAAATTATTTCACACAGTTTTGTTTTTCATAATTGATTATGGCGCCATGAGAGGAAAATTTTCTTATGTGCCGTTGTTTAGTCCATATATCCCAACCCAATTTTACAGGCGATTAGGAGGGAAACAATTATAATTATATAAAATTTATGTGTGAAAGAGACAGCGAGTCAGGTCATAAATTCTGTCACATGTTTAGTAGAAAATAATTGAAACAAGTTTATTCATTATGTAACCATTTATATACCAAAATGAACTTAACAAAACATAGATTCTTATGACAATAAAGTTTATTCAAAATGACCTCCGTGATTTTGAATACAGGCCTTCAATCTGCGCGGCCAGTCGAAAATTCGAATTCAATAAACTTTTGTGTGGCCAGCATTCTAAAAGAAAAGTTTTTATTGTGTGACAATACTTATGACCTGACTGTGTGTATTCTTTTTTTAAATGTCGAGTAGCGCGTCACGAAACAAACGAAGATCAAAATTCAAAAAACAAAATGAGGTTGTAACCCAATTACGAGAAAATTCGTCCTTTTATGATCATCAGCTTTGTATAATTTGTACGCCACAACCATAAGGCGTACTTTAATTGATGACAAGAGAATCTTTGTGTAATAATAACATTCATTTTAATACCTACTTTAAAAAAAAGTTATTGATCTGTAAACATTTGGTTAACACTGTAAGTTCCGCTTGATGTTACCTACGCTTACATGTAGTAATACCTAGTTTATTTTTTACCTATTTACAATAGATAATTATTTTAATCAGTTATTTTGTTCTAAAGATGTATATGAAAAGCGCGGATGACAACAAACAATATCATAATTTTAGAATATTCCTTTAACTTTCCTTACACCAGGAGTGAAACGAAGTTTGTTTCGTCCTTCTTCCTTATTAATACTAGATACTACTGGACAATTAGATATGCTTTTTTGTAATAAAAAGATTTTTTTAGTTGTAGCAAAAATCGATGACTGATTTTATTTAACAATTCACCCTAAAGGTCTCCGAAGGACTACTGTTCATAGTAGACAAAAATCTTTGAATCGTGAAAAAATTGACAACCGACAACTTTTCAGGGACTCAACGAAAACCGTGTGTTAACATTTTTTGACCGGAAATTTGGAGGAGCGCACGCTATGGAAGCAAATATTTTGAGATTACGTTGCGTTGTAATTAATATGAAGTTTAAGATAAAGAATACGCACTGCGCAGGCCTTAACAATAAAGTAGTCTCCAATCGTTCCTACCTCTTTTCGGGAAACGCGAGAATAAATACTCGAAGCATATTTACACGGTAATACGAACTGGAAGACGGTTTCAAGTAAACAAAAAGAAATCTACCCGAATACGGGCGTACTCGACTCCGTTAATTTACACTTGGTCCTGTATTATAGAAAGATTCTCAGTGATTGATCTAGGCCCGTATTACAGAAAGAGTCTCGGTGAGTGATCTAGTCTTGAGCATACTTAGAAAGGGATGTCACTATATATAGCACATAGCGACATCCCTTTCTAACTGTACTCAAGTAAAGATCAACACTTAGTTGTTATTCTGTAAAACGGGCCTTTGTCTTGAGCATAGTTAATAAGGGATGTCGCTATATATAGCACATAGCGACATCCCTTTCTAACTGTACTCAAGTAAAGATCAACACTTAGTTGTTATTCTGTAATACGGGCCTTAGTCTTGAGCATAGTTAGAAAGGGATGTCGCTCTATATAGCACATAGCGATATCCCTTTCTAACTGTACTCAATTAAAAGATCGACACTTAGTTTACCCGAATTCCAATGGCATTCGTATTCGGGCTAACGACCAAGTGTATTCGCGCCATCATAGTAGTGAGGCTACTCTTGCAATATTAATATAACAGTAGATATTTAGTTAGGTTTGAGTGGTCAGGTGACTTATTGTTTTATTTAATTAGCTTATGGCACTGAAACTTTTATTGAATTTAAAAAAGGCTTACGGAAAAAGTTAATGCTAGACTATTTTCATGCTGTTTTCGTGATAAAACAATATCAAATGAGCGATGATATTTAAAACCATCTTTAAAAACTCAAACTAATATAAGATCTGCCTGTGTATGTATAATGATTGTTCTTCTAATTTCAGTCATTATTTCTTTTAGCCCTGCAACTAATCAAGTCTCGTACAGGAAAGACGCTAGTCCTTCACAGTGGTTACACTTATTACTTTCAGTACAATGCTAGTTCGAAAAACCTGACCCATTGGAGGTGTTCTACTCATGCGCACCGAGGTTGCAAAGGAAGGATCACGGTGTTCGATAACATGAAGATAATCAAATCCAACTTGGAGCACAACCATGAACCGGTGACTTTGGTCAATTACAATGACAGTGAACATGATTTTTATTAAGATAATTTTATGATGCGTTGATTGTATTTTTTTGGGTAGGTATAATAGCCTGAGCAGATTGACCGCGGAGTACTTCTGCCGCCGTAATAGATCGCTTGCAAATTCATTGAGTAACGCACACGGCGGACTAAAAATAACGCGGACAAAAAGTCCCTCGAACTACCGCGGACGCCGAAGAACCGCACAGAACAGAAGTATGCGAGACTCCGAAAAAAAAAATAGAATATATGTGACAAAAGGCGGCAACGCACACAGCAGACCCCTCAGGTTCGAGTGGTCTAGAGGCTCCAGACGGAGAGGAGACTCCCCCCGTGGGGAGACGCCATTCGTCTGGAATACCTCTAGAGGCACTCGCCAATTCTTGGCTTGAGGTCCCTTTAGGATCTCGCCGTCCCCAAACCCGGTGACGCTGTAAAGGTCATCTGCGACCAACAGCATACACACTCAAAAAAAACACACAGCAGACTTAAGTCACCGTAGCGCGCTCGTTAGGGATGTACGTGTGCTCAATAGCGCATGAAATCAATAGTAAGAAAATTATAAAAGAAGTGGAAAAAATAACTCCCTTAGACACATCATAAAAGAGTATCACGCACGACCGAAACGACAATGGCGATAAATTTGTTGAACGTTTTTTTAGCGTGTATAGATTTCATCATCAGAAATGCAAATAAAATAATTTTAATGAATTTATCAAATAATTGTAGTGGGTTGTCTGAGTCTGGAATTATAAATTGAGTAATAATTAAGTTATTACTTAATTACTATTTACCTACTATTTTAAGTGATTACAGTGATTAAATCAATTTCAAGTATGTTGTATATTTTGCATCGCTTTACGCTTAAACTATCTTATATATATTAAATTATATTCTCAAAGATCGTGAAACATCTCCTTAATCAATATTATAGTGAAAGCATAATAAATAATGTCAACAATACAAATAAATAAAGAATTACACCGATATAATGGGATGGATCCAGTGTTCTCTTTTAGAACATCTTCTCTTTTTCTTAAACTTCATGTTAATTACAATACAAACGTAATCTCAGAATATTGCTTCCATAGCGTGCGCCTCACTTAATTTTTGGCGGACGAATGTCCGCACACCGTGTGCGTTGAGTCCGGGACAAATCCTCCAATATTTTTTCATGTTACGGGGTAAGTAAGTCCTCCGCGGACAAAAGTCCGGCGCAGGCTGGGGATTGGATGCCACTAATTGTTTTGTTAGGTCGACTATTTCAAACAAAATTAAGGTTATCAGGATTTTACTTATACTTTGATTTATATTCTTTACTTTATTTTTATTTATTTTTAGGAATTATGCTTTTGGTTATCAAAGAATAAACCTTGATTGTTAATGGTCTGGTTGTCCTTAACGATTGCGTAAAAGTGAATTGGCATGTGTAAATTGTACTGGATTTTTATTAAAATAAATAATGTTTTCTTAGCTTGGATTTTTTTTCGAGCTGTCGTGCTTATTTTATCAATGCTTACTTCGATTCACAATCTAATTAGGATAAAAATTAGTTTCCCATACAGACTGCCATCCGCCTTTTTACCCTTTTAAAGGATTATTTTTGGGTAAAAAAAACTATTATATGACCCTCTTTGGGGCTCAAACTTGGCTCAAATTGAACCGAGACAAATTGTGTCTAACCTGTTGCCTCTTCACTCTTAAAAGGTTTAGCGGTTTAAACGTAAAAAGGTACCAGACAGACAAGCACACTTTCACTTTTATAATATTACTACAGACTGGTATATTAGTATATTTATAATGTTATTAGTATTAGTATGGATATGAGCGCAAGTAATTGGTAGTTTTCATTTCAGCACAACTGGTTCCTTTACCGTCGGGTGGTTACCGTTTGCGGATCGGGGACCACTCGTTCTCTACCAACATGAAGACTATAGAAGGCCGCACCACGTGGTACTGTTCCAAACGCATCAGCAGGAAATGCCCAGCCCGAGTGAAGATGACAGACGGTGAAGTGTTTGCAGTGCTCGGCGAACATACACACGAAGTTGTAGTTAGTACTCATCCAACCGAAATCATCGGTACCAGAGCTGTTAATGTTTTTAATGCTGGAAGGCAAGTTTAATAAGAGATTCAAAGAAGAATGCGAAGAGTTAGGCATAATTAAGATTTCATAATGCCATAAAATCCAATTAAAATAATCAGTAAAATTTAATTAATATCAATTTCATGGTTTTATTCATTTATTATTAATAACAGTATTTAAATCATTATTCATAATTTTTAAACCTTTTTTCGTATTTTTTTTTACTTTTCTTTTTGAATTTAATGCCATTTGCAGATTTAATACATAAAGTAGTGGTTGAATATATTTATATCAGCTATTTGTGTGCACTTGTCTAATATATTGTAACTTTATACTGGAATAGAACATACGAGTACATTAATTAATAAGCAATGAGAGTACATTTGAGCTTTGTTAACAATAACATTTATATTTATTACTTTGAACAAATAGACTAATTGTCAATGAAATAACATTCGGTCCAAATTATAAATTACTATTCAATTTCTTTTCCATTATAAAAGTTGGGTTCGCATTTTCTGAATTTCCCGAGAATATGACGCCATAAATGTCAAGTGAGGGTATAGGTATATATCTCATTATCATTAATTTTATTGACATGTGATTTCTAATTTAATGTTTGTCAATGTTGATCTCATTAACCATTTCTATAATTCTATTATCTATCTCTACCTGCCACCTTACCTACTACGAGCACCGCGATATGTTATAAAACGCATTTTCATCACACTCAATTGTCAAATTACAATAGAGTGTGACAGTAAGACGCGATAAAAACGTGATATAACGTAAATTGTTCGGGTGCTCATGTTACGGGGGCTGAATTTGTAAAGATGTCATTTTTTATTTTCTAAATGAGGATAATTACTAGGTCAGCAAATCAACTCAGAAGTAACAGTATAATGATTTAATGAGCTTATTAATTAATATACTTTTTAAATTATCGTAATCGGTTCATTCGTTGCGATTTTATAACTTATTTTATGGTAGCTAATATTCACCGGCGGCCGAAACGTGTAAAGTGACAGAGCTCGATCATGGTTGACTTCGGTCGAACTTCAGTAGCGTCTCTACGCACGCTCGCGCCGTAGCATAGAGCTCTATGACGTCACATCCACCACGCAGCCAGCCGAAAATTCGTTTAGTAGGTAATTTGGTCATAACTTCGTCAATATTTGTCGTAGAACAAAAATTTAACCACTGTATTTTATAGAATCCTTAATGCCTGCCTCAGCCAATTAATTAATGTAATTACCGTGCTTAAGCAGCATGACAAGGCTGATGATGATATTTTTAAGTAAACAATCAATATTGAATTTACTTATTCCTTATTACTTTGGATGTATAAATTGATAAATAAATAAGTGTATAATGTTTGCTTAATTAATAGCCTCAATTACAGTTTTGGTGACAATTGTAGAATGTTTAAATCTTTTGTAACAACGAGTCAAAGCTTATTAGTGAATAAAAAGTGTGATTTGAATTCAATTTATTCATTGGGTTTTTTTGTCATTTATGTATACATATAATAAAGTATACATTTAATTATACATAGTTCACTATAATAACTAAAAAATAATTAAAAATGCCCCACGAAACTTTTAACACGCAAAGGTCTGACATGATAATTTCTTGTTTCCGAAAGTTATACAAATAGTAAAGTAATTACTTTCAGATTTCACGATTACGGCGCTGCCCAGAGGTGGATATTTACTAGGGGTCGGTAACTACACTTACTCTACCAACTACAAGAACATTGATGGTAGAACCAGCTGGTACTGCTCAAAAAGGACTAGGAAAAAATGCCGTGCCTCAGTCAAAATGTTTAATAAGGAAATGATATATTTGTCGGGGACACACATATGCATCGATTAATAAGCTCTGCGTTAATGTACTCTGAGTGCGAGTTATTGGTACTATTTGGATTAAAAGACAGGGATTCCAAGACCAAAAGTCGTTATGATTTTTACAACAGTTTTAATTGTTTCAGTTTTATAAAGGTTAATTCTCAAAGTTTAATCTGTCTCGAAAAGGTTGGTAATTCTGAATGTTAAATATTCTATTTCATTATCAAGTCATACAAACCTTATGACAGTTAATAAGATTACGTCACCAAGAGCCACGGAGCGGCGTGTGGTGACTTTGACCGGCGCCTTGAGTCACGGAGCAGCGTGTGGTGACTTTGACCGCGGCGTAGAGCCACGGAGCGGCGTGTGGTAACTTTGACCGGCGCCTTGAGTCACGGAGCAGCGTGTGGTGACTTTGACCGCGGCGTAGAGCCACAGAGCGGCGTGTGGTGACTTTAACCGCGGCCTAGAGCCACGGAGCGGAGCAGTCGTTATAGTAGCTAAGTCGCGCACAGGCTCTCAGTATCTTCGCTGCACTTCTCCCGGTGTGCACTACGCTTTCATAACATTTTTGCGTCTTAAATCTAGATTCTTTTGTTTTACGTTAAGGTGTGTGGTGGTCACAGTGGACTTGTATTTTCTTTTCATAGATCTTTATATTGAAAGTTATCTTGCGTTGCAGATGTAGAATTGCTTCCTACCAGAAGTGGGAATTACACCCTACGCTTTGGCAACAACACATACTGGTGCAATTGGTATAAGAACACCAATACTGTGGACAAGCCCGCGCGCCGATGGTATTGTTCCAAAAGGAAAGTGTCCAAGTGCCACGCCAGTGTAAAGACTTTGTACGGAAGGATCGTGGCCATATACGGCGACCATAATCATTGAAGGGGTTGCCATTCCTGATGACATTGGCAGAATCATGGTGACATTAGTGCAAGTGGAATTCGAATCGAGCGAACTTATTTAATATTTACTGAACTATTTTGTGGCTTTTATTTGTAATGAAGTTTCCACGCTTCTTTCTGTTCTGGCTTCCATGATCCTCGAATATTCTTATTGTCTTACTTAAAAAGGAGGAGGATTTCATATTTGTTTCTTAGTTTTTCACGCACATCACTCAATAAATAAAACTAGTTTTTTTACGGGTTAATGCCCGAAACTTTATTCATTTATTGACGTTTCGCAGCCTTTACAGACTGCGTCGCGTCGTCGGAATCAATTTTGTGCATTAACCCGTAAAAAACTAGTTTTATTTAAGGAGGATTTAAATTTGTCGGTTTTTTTATGTGTGATTACTAGTTGCTGCCTTGACCGATTCGGATAGTTTCGTTTTGTATGAAAGAGTATATACTACTGCAAGTGATCCCATGTAATAGACGAGTAGAATAATTATATTAGACAGGAAATGAGAAGTTACGCCTTCCAATTGAAGAAATCTCATTAAATTATGTAAAATTAAATCTATAGATACCTAAATAAAATATTGTAGTTGCTTATGTGAACTATTTAAAATAACTAAACATAATTTAAGAATATAAAACACAAGTTTCTGACTTAATAGTTTAATAAACGTACGTAATAATTAAGTCATATTGGTCATAGAATCCCGACTCACATAACCTATAAATATATTCAACAATACTAAAACTATGGAACCTAGTTCCCAAGTATATGATTTTGATTTCATTGAAAAAGTTGTCATTTTGTAAATTGACGATTAAACTGTATAAATTATAAGTTGACAAATTTTTCACCTATCACCAGTCGTTGCCAACATTTGTTAAATTTTCAAAGTCCAATGTCGAAAGAAGTAGGTACGTTTATTATATGATAGTTCAAATAAATGTAAGTTAGTTAAGTATATTATTTTAAAATTTATCTAATCAGTCTCTGTTTGCCATAAATAAAATTTGTCTTCCTCTCTTCTAGGTACTTATTCACTTTTTATTGAGGAATAAGTAAATATCTTTAATTTCCTAATGGTCTGTTTCACAATCGACAAGTTAATCTACAAGTAAGTAGTTTTTAACGAGCAAACTACTGAGAGGTTAAGTTCCTCGTGGAAACTGTGCAGATTTTGTTAGCAACCATAACTAACGGATTGTGAAACGCAATTCACTTGTTTACTGAACAGTAGTAGGCCATTCGGTGAAATAAAATCTCACATCCGATTTCGGTAGCTGCCATTTCAGACATAAGTTTGATACATTACGCCATTACACGGCACAAAGCCGCTTTGTAGAAGCAGCCAGTATTAGAGATTTGACATTTGTCAGAAATCGGAATAAATGAGATCGTCATTGAGATTGCATCTTACAGAATACCTATGCGGTTATGTTTGAAGTAGCTTACTTAGAACTATACTTAACGATTGTGAAACCGACCATAATACCGGCTCTACACTAATCGTGCCGTGAAGTTCCGCGAACAAGCGTGAACGTGAAAGTGGAGATTTTCGCGGCTTCAATGTAGAGTGTCATCACCACTGATGTAAATTCACGGCGCGAGTTTGCGTCTTATTTTCACGGCACATAATGAAGACGGCATAAATATAATATTTAAGGTTGCGAGATTGAGTCCCACCTGACTTGTTCCAACTTGTTTCTGTACATCAAATTATATTTGTATTAATGGTACCTAGGTAATCTGTTTATATATTGTGAAATATTACTTGTAAGTTGAAAAGTAGAAGTAATATCTTTGCTCCTACTTACGCCATCTCGTGTGATTTATTTATTTAATTTCCTACTAATCCTTGAGTCGTCTAAAAATATCTATTTTAATTTATTCCAACCTCTTAAGTAAGATATAAAGAAATTATGAAATTATCAGGTATTATTAAATTATTTTAAGTACATTATATCATTACATTATACATTAACTAGATTTTTTTAATGCTATGTTGACATAGTATATTAAAAATAGAACCATAATACATATTACGATATTTGTGACGAATTTCTTGTATCTGTTTATTGTTAGTTTCATAATACCTTATAATTTATTTTATGTCAAATCATTACTTAAAATTACTAACTTAGAAAAATACGATAGCTTTGGGTATAATCGTATGGAGCCTTGTTGCCAAATCATAAATATAATATAGTGAAAGCTTATTTAAAAAAAAAGTTATTTAAAAAATTGTGCCAAATATTATCTAGAAAACATTTGATGAATCTAGTGGATTCAAATTATTCGATTCTAGAATAAGTTACATATTTATAAAATACATGTGTTCATAATGGACTTTACAAACCTAAGTAGTTTGTGGCAACTGTTCACCACTAATGCGCAAATCACAAAAGACAACTTACCTTGTGTATGAATTCATTTGAAAGCTTTTACATGCACACTGACACACACACATACCTACACACTTACACACACACAATTCACTTATGTATGATTCTATTACTTTGTATTAAATTGTATTAACTTCATACCTATCTTAACAATAATTGTGATAGGTATGAAGTTAATTCATTTTTCAAGTTTCTATGCTCTCTTGTGCTTATTTTAAATATGGGAGGGGAGCCTGGTAGTGCGTAATACAGGTCTTACCAAGCATATCTCTAAATCTATTATGTGTTACTATTGTCAACTGTATATAATATAATGTGTAAGAAACAAATTAATAAATATTATTATTATTAGTTATTGTGTAACTAAGTTCTTATATAGCAGTTACAGTGTGAGTAGACCTTATGCCAATACTCACAGCTGTCAAAATAGAAATAGACGACACGAAACTTTAAATGACATGATTTTTCGATGTCGAGACGATGCGAGTACGGCTTTTAGAGAATTCATACAAATAATCATGAAGTAGTAATGTAACAGAATTCCATTTATTCGTCCTTAAGTATTTTAGTAGTAAAAAAGTCTAATTAAAATGAGGTATAATTAATGATTATGAAAAAAAAATTGACTAATATTTTGGTGCATCGGCTGTAATTTTTTTTTACATAAAATATAAGTCTATAGATAGAGATAGTGGCAATTAAAGTGAATGTGACATGATTATGATGTTATTCAATACCTATCTAGTCAGTATTTATTAAAAAAAAACAATCATTTAATTTTATCTTATTTTGAAGTTAAATATAAAATAAATGTTTTAAAACTATTGGTGTCATTTATTACTTGGTTCCTGCCAAGAACCCTTAAAGTTTCGTGAAGTCCGTCTGTCTGCCCGTCCGAGGTTTTGCTTGGCTTGGAGACTATTGCCACTAGAAAGCTAAAATTGTGTATATGTGAAGGAAAAAAATTAGGGGTAGTTCGCTTACATGTAACGTGAGATATTTTTTTTATCGTCTATCGTGACGGATATCGTTGAATAGGTCCTTAAAAAATAGTTAGGGGTTGCTTCGAATATTTTTTTGTCTAGAGATCCGTTTGAGAAATATGATTTTTTAAAGTGATAACTTTTGTTTGTGTTAAGCGCCTCCCTCCCCCTCAAAAGCTAAACTATTGGCTTGAAAAATCTGGAAAAATTCATGATAATAACGATTTTTCATAAAATTTTTAGGAAAATTATAACGGTTGAGATAAATCTGTTGGTTTAAGAGTAGTATGTAGTTGTTCAACTTATGTATTAGAAATTATCTAACCCAATAAAAATCCTTAAAATATAACTTTAAAAAGTGACTTACACGAAGTAATTGCTTGTGTATAACGCGTAAAACAGGTTCCTTAAATATATTTTGGTAACGATGGTTAACTAAGGAACCCTACACTGCGTGTTGTACGACACGTACTTAGCGGTTTTTTAATTATGGTATAATGAATTAAGGTAAACTATAACCAAAAGAAAATAAATTCGCTACCAAGTATTTCGTATAGATTTTTTACAAAAAGTGTTAAAATACAACGACATATATATAATTAGAGCTTTTTTATTGCAACTATTTTATTTGTCCTTTTCGGACGGTATGGAGGATTGGGGCTAGTCAGAAAAGGGTTAGTCCGGGCATGTCCGTACCTTTAGACTATAGTCCGGACTTTGTACGGATCTTTATATTGGCCGGAATTTGGACGGACTTTTACATTACATTGAATATGTATAATAAGAGGACATATTGATTTAAATACCATACCATTGTAACTAAGTGAGTAATGGTACCATTTTGTGACTTAAAAGTCCGGACTTTTTTCGAAATGTCAGGATTTTTGTAAGGACCTTTGAAATTCTTAAATGGCAACCCCAGTCAGAACGGTATCCAAAAATTTTATAAAATAATAGCAATATTATTTTTTTATTCTAGAACGTTGTCTTACGATAGTAAAATATTAATAGATGACCCAAGTTTCATTTGAGTCCAAACGAGAGCCATTAAATTTCCTGTCCCTAAAACCTCAGGGCTTTAATATCTAGATTGCTTTATCTACTTCTCTGGTAAAATTGTCACTCGTTAAAAAAAGTTTTGTTATATCGATATAAATTTTACTTTGGACGGCATACTGTGTTGTATATAAAACTACGAAAATATTGTCTTCTTTTTCTCGTTAAAGTTGTTATAACGACTAAAAGAAGTTAAAATAATAATAAGTTTTTTTAGTTAAAATAGCATTAATAAACCTTTAAATTAATGTTATTATATTTTATCACTGTAAAGCGATCAAAGATTTAACAGTGAAAAGCCAAGTTCTGTGCACTTACGATCACGAAATCGACATCCATTTTGTATTCTCGGGTATACGATTTAATTTCTTCGTATGAAGTAGTGTATATTGGGTTAAATGAATGTTTGTGTAGCTTTGCATTTCCAGCAGACAGAACATTATGCCTTACCATGGTTGTAACTTTCTTTACCTGTTGCGGTATATTATTTGTCAAAGTTTCATAACCCAAGTCAACAGCCACTGTATCAAGAAGATCTAGGGTTCCTCAATTGAACCATTATGAAAAGCTTGTTAAATAAAATGTGATCTTAAATTTCAGCGGAAGTGATCATAACGAAGAGAGGCTTCAAGTATTTGTTAGTCAATGGATACACATACTGTAGGAATGTTGTGTCGGAGAATAAAATAAGATGGCGCTGCTCTGACAGGAAGTGTTCCGCCAGAGTTCATACGGTGGAAGGAAAAGTGACCGTTCTTAATGAAACCCATAATCACCCACAGAAACGCAGGTTCCTTGAAATATAGAAGCCACGTAAAAGGATGACGTCATCATCATCATCATCATCATCAACAGCCTATCTTAGTCCACTGCTGGACATAGGCCTCTCCAAATGCATGCCACTCAGATCGATGTTGGGCTACTCGCATCCAGCTCCTGCTAGCCACCTTGCGCAAATCGTCACTCCATCGTGCCTGAGGACGCGGTCTCCACTCCAGAACTCGTCTACCCCAACGGTTATCGGTTCTTCAGCAAATATGGCCAGGCCAAAAGGATGACGTATAGATAATTTAATTTTTGTACATAGTACAAAATTAAACTTACAGTTTATTCAAGTTTTTGAGTTGTTGTTATTATTCAACGCATTTATATATTCTTACGTGACTAGCCCGATCCCTATTTATGAACTCAGGCTACTTAAGAAGCAGAGCGGACCTGCTCTCTGGTGGTTTTGTATCATTGTTAAATAACTTTTTTTTGCATAAATCATATTAATATTGATATTGATCTTCGTTATTCTTTTTAAAACATTATCGCTTCTTGTTTTTAAGTATAAATAAATAAATATTTTCAACACTCGCACCAATTAGCCTAGCCCCAAAGTAAGCACTGTTAGGCTTGTGTTATGGGATACTAGGGTAACGGATAGAATAAATATATTGTGCATATGTAAATATATTTTTATAAAATACATATTAAACATCCATGACTAGAGTGCAAATGCTCGTATTTATCACACAAACATCTGCCCCCACCGGGATTCGAACCCGGGACCTCTTGAGTCGGCGACACCATTAAACCCAGCGTATAAACCACTCGGCCAAGGAGGTCGGTCGTATATACATTGACACAGAATTTTACTTAAATAAACAAGCGTTTTTTTTTTATACGAGACGCATCAAAGTACCCCATCACACCTGATGTTAAGTGTGAGTGACTTCCAGGCGCGAAAATAGAAAGAAGAAAGAAAGAAAGGAATAAATTTTATTGACCATAAAGAGAATTGTTAACATAAATAAAAACAATAAAAACAAAATTTTTGGCCAACAACAACAAAGGCAGGGACCCTGCCTCAGCTTGATGCTACAGCAACACCAGGGCTGCTGCAGCGCTGATGATTCTGGCAGGGCCTAAGGAAAATAGATGATACGGCAGAAAGTGTGCCGCTTCAGCCATCCCCACCTTCCCGGCCTGAACGCAATCCCCTACCCCTCGGAGCCTTGGAATCCTATTCACCAGAAAAAACCATACACCACCTAAAGATAGTGTTATTTTACTGTTGTCTTCTTTGTGGTGGAGGTTGCTTCCCAGCTGGGTGCTCCAATTCGAGAGGCAAATCCGCTTAGCCCCATCTCTCATAAATATTCGCTCCCTTATTTGATAGTGGTCATGTAAACGCTTGTTCAATAAAATGTAACTTTACATTTCAGTAGTGTATAATGGTTAAATGAATGTCTGTGTGGGATGAACTTTGCATTTCCAGCAGACAGAACATTATGCCTTACCATGGTTGTAACGTTTTTATCTGTTCATGTAAACCCATGTTCCATAAAATGTAACCTTACATTTCAGTAGTGTATATTGGGTTAAATGAATGTCTGTGTGGGATGAACTTTGCATTTCCAGCAGACAGAAAATTATGCCTTACCTGTGTGCCTTACCATGGTTGTAACTTTTTTATCTGTTAGGGTATATTATTTGTCAAAGTTTCATAGCCCAAGTCAACAGCCAGTGTATCATTAAGAAGATCGAGGGTTTCTCCATTGAACCATTATAAAAAGCTTGTTAAATAAAATGTGATCTTCAATTTCAGCGGAAGAGATCACAACGAAGAGAGGCTTCAAGATTTTGTTAATTAATGGATACACATACTGTAGGAAAAATGTGTCGGAAAATAAAATTAGATGGCGCTGCTCCGACAGGAAGTGTTCCGCCAGAGTTCATACGGTGGAAGGGAAAGTGACACTCCTTATGGAAAACCATAATCACCCAAAGAAATTCAGGTTCCTTGAAATATAGAAGCATCGAAAAGAAAATAGCATATTATATATATTATTTTAACTATGATTGAGGTGAGGAGCTCGATGGCGCGGGTGGTTAGCGCGTTCGAGCTCCTCGTTGAAGTTAAGCAACTTTCGCAGTGGTCGGTCATTGGATGGGTGACCAAAAATCTTCTATCTCGAATTCCTTAGTGCTTCGGAAGGCACGTTAAGCCGTTGGTCCCGGCTGCATCTGCAGTCGTTAGCACCCGCCAATTCTCACTGGGCCCGCATGTTGGGTCATGGCCCAATCTCTCTATTCCATCCATAGGGAAGGCCTGTGCCCCAGCACTGCGGACATTAATAGACTGATGATGGTGATGATAAATATGATTCTTATACAAAGAACGAAAGAAAGATTTTTTTTTCTTCGTGCATTTATTTATATAAATGTACACACCGTTAATGTTGAGTTACCCAAAATATACTAGCGAATTCAGACAATAAATTTGGTTATATTACCGCAAAAAGTGAAGGTGGGGAGGATTGCGTCTGTGTTGAAATCCAGGTGATTACTATTAAAAAAAATGAAATGAAATGAAAAATTATTTATGAAAAAATATTTAAAATGGTGAAAATATACCGTTATGTTTCAAAGTTTGGCATTCACTTACTTTAATAACTGTTTGGGGCTCAGCAAAGAACATCACATCATCTTCTATGGCAGTGAAAAAGGGGGTCTATGGGAAACCAATTTTTCCATGCAAAAGAAATCGCGGGCACCCACTCGTTATTAATACCGTTACCTGTCGGGATGGGGTTCGAAATTATATGCAAGTTCAGTCTTAACAGTTCTTCTCAGTCGACACGTTCAATATGCTTGGACTGCTTATTGATGAAAATATTAATTGGAAAAACCATATTAATCACATAAAAAATAGAATTTCTAAATTCACATATGCGTTATTTGAAATAAAACAAAGCACAAATACAGAAAAGGCGCTCGCAGCCTACTATTTATATGCTTATTCCTAGTTATAATACGGATTAAGCCTGAGCGCACACGTACGGTGATACGGAATTCAGATTCGGAGCCCCGAATGCACGTCCCTACATACAAAATGCTCATCAAGGCGCATTTCGGTTCGGAAAACCTCTGCTCGTTCGGGTCGTTCAGAACGGAATAAAACTTAATGAAGTCATCCCGAACGCAGAGCTTACATAATTTTTTGTTGTTTATTTAATTAGTTTTGGGTTTTCTCTGCTTTTTTTAGCGCCAATAAAAGTGCGATTGCCATCAATTGGTCATCATCCATGTTGTATGTGCTTTCCAAAGAGCGTCACTTTACGATCTAGCAGTATAAATTCCTAATGAAAATACCGTATCGGAATTCCAGATCAGAAAACCGTACGTGTGCGCCCAGTCTTAATACTGTGGGGAAACAGTGTAAATGCGAATTGACTTTTCTTAAGCAAATGAAATGTGTAAGAATAATATCCCAAATAAAAAACACACCAAGTTGTCGACCATATATTATCAAATACAAAATTATGACATTCATATCGATTTAAATATGTGACCTATGTATATTAGTTTCATATAATATTTATTCATTTAAAAAAATAGAGGATACTCATAATACAAATACCCGACATAAAAAAGGATTACACTTTCCACCATCCAATAAAAAACTCCTTAATTGCAGTCCATACTATATGGCGAAGAAAAACTCACAATGTTCAGTAAACAATTAAAAGATTGCTTAATTAATAACTGCTTCTATTATTAATCAATATCCTTATAATAAAATTAATTATTTTATTATTAAAATTAATTATGTATTAGTAATATAATAATAATTAAAAATTACAGTATTTTAATCGTTGCAATATATATATTAAATTAATTAATTATCAAGTTATAAATAGAACACTAATAATGTTATATAATAAATGTATATTTAATTAGCACAAATAAAGAAATAATATATAAACATATATATCACTTGTATTACATAAACGAATGATGTTGCTAAAGGATATAGATATTATTGTAGGAAAAAAAAATAGATAAACGTACTGTAGGTAAAATTCCGAGTACGAAGTACGAGTACCTAGTTATACGTAAGTAAACGCACGAATTGTAAACATTTGCAGATGTCATTGTATTACCCTTACGTGGCACTGCATAAGGCTCATTAGAATGAACCGCTTCACTCGACATTTATCGCAATCACGCACGTCGCGACCTGCGGTGTTTTGGTAAAATCTGTCAGCAGTATTTTCGCGGTTTTGTTTCGAGAGCGTTTGTGACAATACTTAACAATCTACATTGTTTACAGGGCTTGAAGCAGCGTTCTTCTCGAGTGAGAAAGGAAAGAGCATATTGATCTTGGAGGGCTTCAGATACCGACCAAACGGTGGTGTAGGTATGAAGACCCGCTGGAGGTGCACTTCTCATTCAAGGTTTAAATGCAAATCTACTGTTCATACCGTGAACAACTCAATTGTATATTACATGAATCAACACACCACGTCCTGAATCCATTGGTTCAACTTATACGTTTGGAAATTTCATCCGCACCCGTACCCTCCGCTATCTGGGCGGATGCACTGACCATTATGCTATCACGGCCCTAATGGCCGTGTCGAATTTCCTGTAGTACTTCTTAGGCTGCAAGGCAGCGCCATTTCTTCGCATTGTATCGAATGGTTTCTAGTAACATTTTCTTTAGATTTAAACATCTAGCAGTTAAATGGTTAAAAAATTTAAATATAATTAATTATATATCACGTTTCCTTAATGCGTTTCAGTTATTTAGAAATGCAATGATAATATAGTTAAGACCTATATAATATAGGTATATGTGGCGATTTTGTGGGAATAAAGGGAAATTATTTTTTATTTTACGATCACCATTAAAATTATTTGATTTGTTTTTATTATTTCCATACAATAATGTTGTATAAATATTGTATAAACCTTCATATAAATCTTCCCGTTTGTAATGTATTTTTTTTTAATATATACAGGCTGGTCCAACTAGTGACGTCAACAATTTTTTTTAGATTCCTCGCACCTGGGATTATCTGAAAATTTCCCATGTATGTTCCGCGATTTTTCTTAGTTTTCGAGTTATATTTTTTTGTGTATTTTGACTGATTTCTTCCAGCGAGGTTTCAAAAATTCATATCTTTTTTCGTAGTAGGTGTTTTGCAGTCTTTTTTTGTGACATAATTGTCTTGAATGTTGATTTAATAAAAAAAAACTCAGCTTCCTGAAATTACTTAAAGTTACTCAAAAACGGCTTGAAAGTTGGAACTTTAGTTTTTAATAGGATTTACTCAAACATTCAACTACAATTTAAAAATACAAAAAGGAGTTTCCATAGCTTCTGCTTAAGTTTAAAAACTCCGCATGCTTCTAAACTAAAAAAACTAAAAAACATAATAGTACTTAATCAGCCTATTTTTGTTGTAATTGGCCTTCGAAGGCGGATAGACTAAAAATCATTAAAACACGATTAAAGCATTTAAAAATTATTTTATCTACTTTTCATCATTGTTATGGTAAATTAAACTTGAAAATGTAATTTCAAATTAAATTTAATCGAAATTCCTGTAAAATAACTTTAGCGTGTGTAATTTGATAATAATTTCGGTTTCATCGCTATTCCCAAAGGTCCGTTAGAACTGTACTCGTATGTGCGAGTGAGCACCTTCTTATTATTAAAGAGTATTTCACCTTCTTGCAGCGAAAAAATTGTGACTGTAACGTCGTATTAGTTTAGTCTTTTCTTTCCATCGCGCGTGTTAAGACTGCACTCGTCTACGTCATTTTCTCTCCCTTGAACTACTAACGCTGTGTTGACTGGACTCTGATTTGCCTCACGATTACCTTTTCTGTATTTGTTACCTTTCAGGAAATAGTTATTGTACAATTCCCATTAATAATTTGGTACAAAGTATTTTGAACCTGTCTGAGATTTAAATTAAATTGTTTGGATATCAGCACTTGAAATATCTTGGTGACTAAATTTGTGTTTTGTGTAATATCTTTGTAAATATAAAGACCTGCTGCGTGTACTTTATTTTTTAAATTTATTCCCTTAACTAAATTTGATTATTTACATGTATGTAATTCCTAATGTAATATAAACTCTATTGACTTACAAAATGTTCATTGTGATTATAGTCCGAGATCCCGCCGCATAGTTTTGCAGCCATTTCTTTTTTTTAATGAAACTTAGTTTAAAACAATGATTACTGAGTATACCTACAATGCATTAGTGGGCACTCATCTGAAGCGATAAGTTCCTTTAAATCAATGCAACCCCTACTTACGGTCATTTCTAACCGTGGATTTTCGTGTACAGCTGATAAGAAACTTCAATTTGGGTAAATACTAAAGGAACAGATGGGTGTAAATAATCAACAGTTATGTACCTTATTTTTGCCGTAGAGAAAATGCGTGTCGCATATCCCGCCGCCTGCGGCGAGGTTATGTGGGGCTCTCGTCCGTGGACTCATCTAATGTAGGACTACTCGATGAGTCCTCGGAGTCCTACCCACTGAAAACTCAACGGCACATCCCCGGTTCTGAGTTACCGGGCCACCTGTTGGAAAGACCTTCTGGTCCCTCTCGGGCGGAAAAAGCTCAGGAGCGTGAAGCCTTTCCTCAAACAGGTGATACCGTGAAATGTGTGGGTGGTTGACAGTCACCTCCCCCCCTCCCTCTGCAGGGCTGGCCCCAGCAGTGGATGCATGATTACGGCATTTTTTTAGGGGATCCGCCGAACTAATGCATTGTATATATGCGTAACTCTTGTTTTGATTAGCAAGACTAATACTTTGTCCGAGGTAGCGGTCAGCTCTTCAGTCTCTTGTGATGTCGACTAACCTTTTTGCTATTTCCTTAAAAAGCCTTATAGCGCTAGGACCCCACGGACCAAAGGTCTCGACACCGAATGGGACAAAATCATATTCGGAGCCTAGACCCCTCCATTTGCATGCTTTAGCTTTTTCAGCCGCTTCACAAGCCGCACCAGCTCTATTGTTGGTTCCATATAGATGGGAAGGGGCTGGTGTGTCTGAACAGGTTGCATCCCATACCAGCACCCGGACCATCTTCCATGGAATCAAGCTCATACCGTCCGGTCTCTTGCCATCGTCTCTTGCAATACCAGTCAGCTCAAGTAGACTTGGCACTTTGGCACATTGACGGTGGCAAGGGACCAGCGTATGATATCGTTAAGTGCGGCATGTCTCGAGAAGCGCCTGCACTTTTTTGGCATGACAGTCCGTGATGTCCTAGCTTGTCGACATCACTGCCACAGGGAACTCCAAGCCGTAAAGAGGTTGCGATTCGGGCATTATGATCAAATTATTTATTTACAAAACCATAATGATAATAATGAGCAACCTGGGAATGATATTTTATGTAACTCAAATGAGCCGACTCAGTCTCAGGCTACATCACCGACGGTCATTCACGACGCGATCGGTGCCGACGAACTACACCAGGAGGGAGAGGAAGTCGGAGATTCTCGAGCAATACGGTCACGCGCGGACACGACACCTGCTCACGATGGCGACCAGTCGGTACGGGTCTCTCCATTAGCTTCACCCTCCAGAGTGACGATAACTCGAGGCGTGCGACTTCCTATGCTGAGCGATGACGATGATGGGGCCTGTGAGCCTAGCCCACCATCGTCGACCCCCTCCAAAGTGACGATGACACGAGGAGGTCGGCACCGTATACGCTCCGATAGTGCTGACAACTTTTATGAGGCTGAATATTGGTCTTTATAAATATATTTGTATGACATTTTTGGTACTTTTTTATACTCAATAATTGTTTAGGTTTGATTTAATGTTGTAAAACAATAGTTAGAGGTCGTCATTGTCCATAAGTTTCTCAAACTATCCTCAGTTCATACATTTGTAATGAGAAGGGTGGCCAGCATTTTGTTACCTACAACTATATCTTTTTTTTTGGCGGTAGGTGTGAAAAAAGTAAAGAAGTGTTTCTCAACTGTAAAATTTAATTTAATTATTTCTAGTCAATTTAATACCTTGTTTTTATGCTATTTTGAGTAACAGAGAAGTGAATCAGCTTAACTTATATTGGCAACAACTTTAATGTAACTTTAAGCTTACATTTTGAAACCACCTGCCAGCACTTCACATACTTAAGTTTTAGCACTTGCAATATCACCAAAACACTGTGAATCTCACTATGCCGCAACTCTCAGATATTGTATCTGCACAGAAGAGCCTGGAAGAGTGCTTCATGAAGAAAATGCAGGATTTGGAGGCTCAGATTCAGGTTACAACTTCCGGTAAAGAAACAGTGGCAAGGGTGGCCGAGGAGTTCCGGTCCTTTAGAGAGCTTGTGTTTAGCATGTTGGGGCTACTCCGCAAGCAGATAAATGAGTGCGCCACACAAATTGATGCGATTGAATCCAGGCACCGTCGCAAAGCACTAATTTTCATGGGTGTTGCGGAGTCAGAAGATGAGAACTGTAAAGAGGTGATATGTGGCATCCTTAAATCAAAACTGGGCCTCAAAAATTTCACCAAAGATTCTTTGTCGGTGTGTCATAGGCTTGGTGCATCCTCTACAAATGTTTGCAATAAACATCGGCCTGTTCTCGTCAAGTTCTCTCAGTATGATTTGAAAGCTGCAGTCTGGAAGGCGAAGAAGAGCTTGAAGGGGACAAACATCTCGGTCAAGGAATTTCTTACAAGATCCAGGCAAACTGTGTTCAATGATGCTCGGCTGCATTTCGGTGTACGGTCTTGCTGGACTCAGGATGGCGTCATCCACATCAAATCCTCTGATAGCAGGCGTCACATAGTTGTGCGTAAAGAGGATTTAGACTCCCTGGTTGACAAATATCCAAAAGAGTCGTCGGCTGGTGTACGACCGGCATCTGCAAATGAAGACAAGTAATATTAATACCTTTTTATAAAATTAGCTCTCGCATTAATATCGTTAAGAAAACCTTTTGCTTTTAATGACTTTTCAGTACATTCATTACTTACCTTTGCTTTTAAAATTAAATTGCACTGTGCAGTCATGTTATGGTGTATCGCAATAGCTAAGTTATCAGTGTTTCGCTTTCTTTTTTTATTTAGTTCGCATACTGTTGGCAGAAAACAAAATATTTTGCTTGCTTTTATAATGTTTTAATATACAAATTAAGGTAATCGGTAGATTTGCTTTTCTTCCATTTGAGGTAGGTAGTTTTGTGTGTACAGATATGTTATTGTCATATTGTGTTGTCACTTGTCAATGTCATTTTTATTATTTTTTTGTTTTCTTAATAGTACTGCTTTGTGAAGGCAAAGGTATTTGTATCATACAGCCTTACCATTTAGTCGAGTATTTAAAATTTAATTAATCAAGTCCTTTTGGTAAGTTCGAATACTAACGACTTACTATTTTACATTGCAAAAGTTTATGGTGTTTATTTGCTAACTTGTAATTATTACGCGTTTGTGCTTTTATTATTATTTTTTCCTGTGCCCAACTGTTGTGAGCTGGCGGGTGGTGTGGATATTTTGGTGCTTCTTCATTATTTTGCATTAATTAATTCACATTTTTTATTTATTATTTTTATATACATATTTGGATATATATTTATTTATATTTACGTAGTTTATGATATTAGACGACGACTTTTTTCTGCTGATGACGAATCTGTTGATTCTTCTAACAGTGAAAGCTTCTGTTCCGCTACTGACGCGCTTGGTGACTTTTTGGCTCGAACTTTCGATCAATCTCCATATCATTTGAATATAGGTCACATTAATGCCCAAAGTGTACCTAGCCATTATGACGAAATGCTTGATGTGTTCTCTGGCCGAGATATACATGCTATCCTCATTTCCGAATCATGGTTAAAACCACATCTCCAATCTTCCGCATATTCTCTCCCTGGTTTTACCCTAATTCGGAATGATCGTCGTGACCGAGGCGGAGGTGGTGTTGCTGTCTACCTACGTAGTTCATTTTTGTACAAAATTATAGCTTCCTCCAGCTCTGACTCCAATTCTGAGTATCTTTTTCTGGAGATTGGAACGGGTCGTGCTAAGGCAGTTATTGGTGTAGTTTATTGTCCCCCCACTGTCGATTATTTCACCGAACTTGAAGCGGTTTTAGAATCTCTGGGGTCTGAGTATGCACATCTTATCATCATGGGTGATTTTAATACCAATCTCCTAGCAACCGATTCCTCACGATCCCGTAAACTCCTTCATATTGTTCGGTCCACCAGCCTTCATGTTATACCTCTTCAGCCTACTCACCAAAATACTTGTGGTGATGACACATGGCTGGATTTAATCCTCACCTCCAATCCCTCCCTTGTCACATCACATGGTCAACACATCGCTCCTGGCTTCTCCCATCACGACCTCATTTTTATTTCCTATCTCTTTAAGCCTCCCAAATCCTCTCCCAAGGTTCTGCACAGGCGTTCATTCGCGCGTATGGACTTAGGCAAACTAAAAAAGGATGTCTCGGAGATCAACTGGGACCCTTTGTTTAATGCTTCTACTGTTGATGAAAAGGTTAAAATATTTAAAGACACATTGTCACATGTTAAACATTTACGATGTCCACGCGCCCGTCAGAAAGGTGAGACTAAAGCGTCAACCAGCCCCTTGGATGACAGTGGGTGTTCAGATGGCGATGAGACGAAGAGATCGTACATTTCGAAGTTACAGAAAGGATCGCTCTGACGAAAAGTGGAAGCTCTTCAAGGCTGCTAGGAATAGATGTAATCAGATGATACGTAACGCCAAACGCCGATTTATTCTCAACAATCTTTCTTCTTCATCTTCTGCTGATATCTGGAAGTTTCTCGGAACGCTAGGTATCGGCAAATCGCGACATTTGGACCTATCTAAATCAATAAACTTAAACGATCTCAATTGTCATTTTACCTCCACTATAAATCTGGATCGTTCTCTTACAACAAGCACTGTTGCCTCTATAGATGGTTTAACGCGTCCTAACATTGCCTCTTTCCATTTTTCACCAGCCACATCGTCAGAGATTAAGAAGATAATACTTTCGATCAAATCTAACGCGATAGGATGTGACGATATTAGTCGTCGCATGATCATCACTATTCTGAACCCTCTTCTTCCTGCTATAACCCATATTATAAATTCCTCTCTTGACACTGGCACTTTTCCTATTTTATGGCGTAAAGCCTTTGTACGCCCCCTTCCCAAAGTTCCCAATCCAACACAGCCTAATGATTTTCGGCCGATTGCCATCCTCCCTTTTATGTCAAAGGTGCTGGAGGCTTGTGTCCATAAGCAATTCTCTCAATTCGTTCACAAAAACTCATTAATGAACCCTCTCCAATCCGGATTTAGGCCCGGACATAGCACAGTTTCAGCGCTTTTAAAGGTGACTGGTGATATTAGGGCGGGAATGGAGAATGGTAAAGTCACGTGCTTAGTTCTGATCGATTTCTCCAATGCCTTTAATACTGTCAGTCACGATATTCTCCTTTCCATACTATCCCATCTTATGGTCTCTGACGAAGCATTGACTTGGTTCTCATCCTATCTTCGGGACCGCCAGCAGTTAGTCCAGTCTGGGGATTCTTCCTCATCCTGGCGCAGTCTGGAAACTGGTGTTCCCCAAGGCGGTATTCTTTCTCCTCTTCTTTTCTCAACTTTTATTGACTTTATCACTCACAAACTTCAATGTTCGTATCATCTTTATGCTGACGACTTACAACTATATACAGAGGCAAGCATTGACAACTTAAACGACGCCATTGATGCTTTAAACAGTGACTTAGTCGCTATCAAAACATGGTCGGATAGTTTCGGTGTCACTGTCAATGCTTCAAAATGCCAAGCCATTTTATTAGGTGGGTCAAGAATGATGAGCAGAATTAACAGCAGCGGTCTTAGTTCCATTATTTATGACGGCACTGCAGTTCCTTTCAGCAATGTCGTAAAAGATTTAGGATTATATGTGGACTCGAGTTTTAAATGGCAAGATCAAGTAAGTAGTGTCTGTCAAAAAGTAACGGGAACTCTGCGTGCTCTTTATCGCCTGAAAGATTTTCTGCCGGTCAATATTAAGGCAAGGCTTGTGCAAACCTTAATATTTCCCATAATTGACTATGGTGATGTGTGCTACCTCGACCTGAATGCAGATCTACTCAATAAACTTGATCGACTTCAGAATTACTGCATTCGATTCGTTTTTAACCTCAGAAAATATGATCATGTGTCCGCGTATCGTTCTGACTTAAAATGGATGCCTATTAGGCAGCGCAGATGTATGCGGGCTCTGACCACTTTGTTCTCTTTGTTAGATTCTCCAAATGCCCCCCCTTATCTCACTTCTCAATTTCAGTACTTATGTACCTCTCATCCTAAAAACCTTCGATCTTCTTCTAATCGTTTACTTGTCGTTCCCTCTCACCGCTCTGATATCACTCACTCTTCCTTCTTCATCAAAACAATTCATTTGTGGAATGAACTCCCGTTGGCCATTAGAATGTCCACCAGCAAATATAGCTTTAAAACCAAGCTGCGAAGCTTTTTACTGGAACAGACAATTTCGTTTAGTAGTTAGTCGTCATTATTATGTATTAATTTTATGTAGTGTTATTTTATTATATGTTTACGTATGTGTATGTTTATATATGTATATATATATATATATATATATATATGTATGTAATTGTATATAATTACTGTGTAATTTAATTATTATATATTAATATAATATTTATGTTGAAATGTGATTTACTGCTTTAAATGTGATTTCC